AATTTGATGAGATGTGAATTGGATGGGGGAGAAGGAGCGGTTTAGTGGACGGGGTTAAAGTGGATATGGTTAAATGTTCAAAGATATGTTTGGAGATAATTCTATCTGCAGAGTAGAGAATGGACTAAAACATAAAAGCAAGAGTAAACTCAGGAAAATCACTTAAAAGTCTTTTTGCACTGGTTTTAACTAAAGATACAGTCATTTGGACTAGGGTTGTACCAAGGGAAATGGAAAGAACTCAACTGATTTAAAAATATTAATGAGTTTAAAAAAATCAGAACTCAGTAATATTTAAATGTGAGAAGTAAAAGTGAAGGTTTTATTAAACATTAGAATATTAAAAAAAAAAAAAAACCCTTTTCATTGTGAATTGAGTGAAGGTTTACAGAGAAGATCATCAGTTTTACATTCAGTAAATCATATACTTTGTTTCATCTCAACAATTGCAATCCTTCCATGAAATAATAGTTGTCCCACTTCCTCCCTATAGTTCCTATTTAAACACTGGAATTTGGGGTATGCATAACCAGAGTATAGTAGATAGCAGCCGGCAAGGACCAAGGATTAAAGATAAATTTGGTGCACTTTTGTAAGTTTCATTTTAGAGAGGCCATTATGACATCTAAGAGAATAACGTAATGGTCTGTTTCTCAGAGGAGAGGTCTAAGCTAAATGTCATTCCATGACATTGAGTCAATTCTGATTCATAGCAACCCCATGTATAACAGAAAAAAAATGTTATAGGTATGTATAATTTTACCTAATGAGAGTATGTAAAGTGATAAAAAAGAGGGACTAGTCTCAAAACTCTGAGGAATCCCAATATTTAATATCCAAGTGGAAGAGCATGAGCTTGCTATGAAGCTAAGAAAAGTGGCAAGAAAAAAAGAAGAGTGAAGGAAGAAAGAGAATGAATGAGTCAAGAAGAAGGGACAGAGAAGCTAGTATTGTTAAACAGTACAAACATGTCCATACAATATGATGAGGACTGAAATGTTTCCACTGCATTAAGCAAAATGGAGATCATTAATGACTAATTGTTGCTACTTTGATCTAGTGAGGGGTATGGGAACTAGACTCTAACAGGTGGAGGAGTGGATGGTGGGATGTGAGAAAATGATGGCAGTGAACACAATTTGTTTGGCTTTTAAAAAACTGAGAAAGACAGAAGTTGTTATTTGGTATAAATAGATGTCAGAAGTATAGAGAAAGTTTCACTGTTTTATTGTTTAAAGTTTGAGTTGGTTGGTTGGTTAGTATTTGAATAGAATAGAACATATTTAAAAGTCCATGGGAAAGTTCCATTTAAGACTAACTTCCAAGTCTTGTTCTCAGAATGATACTAAAACCACTGTTGTTCACCTTCTCTAGCAACAAAATTAATGGTACCTGGGTAGTACAAGTGCAAAGGCTGGTAGCTGAAACCTACCAAGGAGCACTATGAAAGAAAGACCTGGTCAACTTCTTCCATAAAGATTGCAGCCCAGGAAACTCAAAGGAGAGTTATACCCTACAACATGAGTTGGAATCAACTCAACAGTAATTGGTTTTTGTTTTGTTTTTTCTATTTGTGTTCTTTTGATAACAAAATTAGTTATGTTTACAGTGAAAAAAAAATTATGTAGTCAATTTATGCCACGGTGGTGGTGGTGGTGGTGGTGGTGGTGGTGGTGGTGGTGGTGCGCCATTGAATTGGTTCTGACTCATAGTGACCCTTAGAGCTTCCAGGCTGTAAATCTTTATGGGAGCACAAAGCCTCATCTTTCTCCCTCAGATCAGCTACAGGATTCAAACTATTGACTTTACAGTTAGCAGCCCAAAGCATAATACACTACACCACCAGGGCTCCCTAATTTATACCACAGAGTATCAAATTTACCTTATTGTTAAGTGCTATTGAGTCAGGGTTTATGAGGAGTAGCTGGTGGGTTTAAACCACCAACCTTGCATTTCAAACTGACCTTCAGTCAATGTTTATCCTTCAGTGACACACCAGGATTCCAGTGTAGTTAACTTTAGTTACACTATACTGTTATGAGGAAGAATTATTTATTAACTATTCCTCAAAGAGCCCTGGCGACTCTGCAGGGTGTGAGTGGGGGTAGAGATGGGAGGGAGTTGATTTATGTTTCTAAGTGAAGAAACTCAACAGAGCACAGGTCGGTCGACTTTAT